ATTATGAGCACATGCACACAGTCACATATTTGCCGCATTGATTTGAAGTGTGTATGACTTCTGCAAAGCTACATGAATTTTGACCCGCTACCCTTCAACAACAAGTAACTATTGAGCCGCCTGCATCATCAGAAAAGAACTTTTTTTAGCTCGGCAACGGCAAATGGCCATAAGTTGTGGTGAGGAAACAAATCTCCTGTTTAGCTCAGCAAATGGCCATGATGACTGTCAGATCGGTGGTCAGAAAATAAATTTGCAGATTTGTAGCTCAGCAATTAATTCCTTGTAGCCACAATTGCCTGTCAGAAAACAAACTTTCCATGTTGGGTAACTCACCAATAGTCCCTGTTTTGTGGTCAGAATGGTTCATTCACTTTTTGCATTTGCAAAAACAAGATGTAAATTCGGGCAATGTAAAGAAATACAAACACAAAATTTAAAAACTTTTGGCGACGCACTGTCTTGCAGGGTCACTGGTCAAACTTTATTTTCTCAAGAAATATTTGTTACAAATGTTGGCAATCTGAAATTGAAAGTGTCACCAACAGTTCAAATGCCTTTCCTGGAAAATATTTTGTCCAGTACAAGTTCTAAATACTTAATTAATTAAACATACTTTCACCGCAGGCTTCTGTGAACTTCACGTGCAAATTCTTATCTGTCATTCGATCAAACTTAGTTTTCTATTGAGGGATTTGAATACCATCAAAGTAGACCAAACATGCAAAACGCACTGCGCTATAAATCTTTGATTACTACTAGTATTTAGTAGTGTAACAATTAATCAAATTCTTGATTACCAGTAATCCCGATTATCAACATTCGGTTTGATTCATGATATCATTATTTAATGCCATGTTTCGGTTTTAGTTCAATTCTTTCCCTGTCTTTCCCAGGGTTCCCTCAGTGAGTTATTACACTGTGAAATCAGAATCCAGAACTCAAAGATGTTTGCAGTTTGTGTGCCATTTTGTGTTGCTTGGTAAAAATGCTGCCCTTCTACCACCCCTTGAGAACTTCCAAATAAGGCAAACCCTGTGCGACACGCTCATTGTCTGCATTGTCAAGTTCTCGAACATGGCAATGAATGACACACCAGCAGAGCCTTTTCTTACGGTACATATACTTTGTACTGTGTGAAAAGAAATAAAGCAAAAAGAGATAAAGGAGGCTCTGCTCGTAGGGTGCGAATGACCAATCCACTTGCTTTTAGATCCGCTGCACAGAGGGTGGTAAAGGGGGGTATAGATCATGTTTCACGGAAAATAAAGCAGCCCTTTCACAATTCACGAAAA